GGCTGGGGGCGAGGGTTAACAGCGGAAGCGACCATTCTTGAGATTAGCTCTAGAACCATACTCTGCCACTCGCCTGTGGCAGAGCGAAGGGTGCTAACATTAGTGCTGCCACGTTGCGGTATAACCTCCCTCTACGCCCGGGGGATAGCAGGATAGCATTACCCCAGAGCGAAGGGCTATAGTTCTAGATCTAGCTTTAGAAAATACTCGCGAAAACTGCCGAGTCTTTAATCAGGGCAGCCAGACCTCAAACCTCAACTGCCGTCAGTCAAGATAAACGCACCACTCCTGCTACGACCTACCACGCCGCTACGTACGGACTACGTATTGGTAAACACACCGCAGACGATCGTTTGGCAAACAACAAAAAAACCCGAGGTTCAACGTTCGATATCTCGCGAAACCGCAAATTCCTTATCAGCGGTATTCTCGTCGCAGACGATCTCATATCACCAGGAGTGAATAATAATAGATTAATTATTATTAATATTAATCTATTATTATATTCACTCGTGATAGCTGCTATTGCCGCTGTCATCGCATGTACGTAGCGGGGGAGGGGGAGGGGGAGTAGACGGTGGAGGGATCACCTCTATTAATAAGACCGCTGAGTTTACACACACACCGCCTACGCGGGTTAAGGTTATATTTGATATAAGAAGGTACACATCGTGAGATACCTCGCACCGCCGTGGTGTCGAGAATCCCGGCTGTTACAGCTACCACCAGCACCCCGCTCTCCTCGACGCAGGCTGGCTGTTATGCTTACCGTCGTCACCCCCTCATTAGTTTATATTTGAGCTGGCTGGTAATAATAAATTATACACAGACTATAGATCCCACTGTCTATTTTTACGCTCCTATGGCGTTTGCCATTCTGGTTAAGAAACTCAATGACTCGATCTGTTTGATATTTGAATCAATATCATATAAACCTGTACGTATAATAAATCAAAGCGCTCCATACACGGTGGCTGCTTTCTGCCACTGCATAGACTGCTTTCGGCTCATCTAATCTTGAGATACATACAACCAGGACAATACACCCAACCTATATAGACAATATAGATGATATTCATCTACACTAGCTGTCTATAATAGTAGTCTCTGCAATATGGTACCGATGTGTAATTCTGATCTTGGGTGTGTGTGTGTGCGTGCGTGCGTGCGTGCGTGCGTGCTTGCTTGCTTGCGTGCGTGCGTGCTATGTATCTATCTATCTATCTATCTATCTATCTATCTATCTATCTATCTATCTATCTATCTACCTCTCTCGTACTCTCTATCGTACTATCCCCTCTCCCCCCCCCTTTCTCTCTCTCTCTGTCCTGCGTCGTCCCTCGGCGCCGCGTCATACCCCATCGAGCGCGACCTAGAGGAAAACCACCTCCTCCCGTGCCTCCCTCCTCTCTCTCTCTCTCTCTCTCTCTCTTACTTTCCCCTTCTCAATCCGACGCGAGTGGATCTGCGCACACGACAAATAGCTGCGAGGGATTACGTTACCAAAAAAACACAAACCTCGCCACGCTCGCCCGCCTCGCTGTGTGGGAGCCCGCTACGACGTAGACTGACACCGACGCTGTTCGCCGCAGCCTCACACGACGGCGGGGAGATCCGGTCGGCGCTCATCTAGCGAGGATGAGTGGTGTTTCCTCGCCCGGGCGCAAGACGAGGGTCGATGGGGTCGGACACGCGGCTATGTGTCACGCACCACGCGGGGGCGGGCCGCGGCAGGCCCCCGCTAGAGTTACTTACCACCACCGAGCCGACGGACCTCTAACGCTCGCTGTGTGCGCGAAGGCACGCTGCTATGCCAACTAATATCGCTCGCTATATACCACCTAATAGGTTACACCGCGGGAGCACGCGCGTGTATCGTGCGTGCGTCGGTTACCAGCTGCTACAGAGCAGGCAGCGATGCGTGCCAACAGTTGGCAACTATATAGCACATGCGGTAAAACGCCGCGCGTGAAATTTACAATCGTTTACGCGAGTTGTTCGCTGCGTTGTTTTGTAATGTATTTCTTGTTAGGCTTCGAAAGAGCAGCGGTTATGAGGTTGTTTTCAGAAGTTAGCGGTGGTATGAAGGTCGTTGTTAGTAGTAGGGCTAGATGTACGATTATGTTCGCTACGTCAGTAGTCGTGCTATACATGTTAGGCTATTTCCCAGGTCTATTACAGAGTTGAACGCCTTACCCACTGAAGTGATGACAGCCGAGAATCTATGTTCCTTTAAGTTTCTGATTACTGCCTAAACGACATCAGGGCAGTTTTTTAAGTAAAATTTGCTTTTTTTGTTTGTTTTTTCTTTAGAAAATCAAAAAGAAGGAAAATTTTATTTTAGTCTCAACTAGCGCCTCCCGTTGGCAGAATCATCAGTATGTTGATGGTGGCCAATATAGAGTAGAAGTAGAAGTAGAAGGCTTACATGCTTAGAGTTACTTAGGCTCGTGATGCGGGTTAGCGCTAGGATTAGCATTAAGGTTAAGGTTAGAGACCGTTAGACTTCAACGCAATAATTGTTCGCAAGACTGACTTGGATGAACTTTTTGTTGTCCCTGCACAAGGATAGCAACTGAAGTGACCACTTTAACAGCGTCAGCCTAAGAGTTGTCAGCGAATATCACCGCATATCACCTGTGTGTAGTGTAGTAGTCGCTTATACTATACACGCTGATGGCACGAGAATCGATCACTCATCGCCGCTACACGACCAAACGCGCCCTTCCCTGAGGTTTCACTCATCATCAATCAACCCCCCCCCCCACACACACACACACACCACCACCAACACATACACCACCATCACCACACATACACACACATACACACACAT